CACTGTAATTGTGGCAACTCTGTCTTCTGGTGTTGTCGTTATCCATCCAGGACCAGTGGGTCTGATATCTCCTGGATTTCAGATGGATTCGGTTCTAGAGTGATTGCACTGTCCGGTAATGCTGTCTCATCTTCCATTTCATCCACAAGTGGGCAAGTTGCTATCAAGGTAAATTATTGAATTTTAATTTCACAACGGTCAACTTAGAACAGATTAATAAAGTTTGTCTAAGTCTATTTATATTTTGCCTTAATAAAGAAAAATTGTTGAAATCATGGAACATTCCATATGATGAAAGAAATATACAGAGAAATGGAAACGTTATCCTAAGACGCCAAGCCTTTGGCAGTGATATGTGTTGGAGGAATATATATAAAGAAAATTCAAAAATTTACATTTCAAATTGCAACTTGCACATAATGATGTCAGATATTTTCTGACTTTTACCGATTATGTTGTTTCGTGAAAAAAAAATAGTTGTCAGAAAAGTGTTAGGTAAAGTGCAAATTTAAGAAATCATTGCTATGTATGCAGGTAAAGAATAATTATATGGAATGAGTCATCTGCTTCGTTTGTCATGACAATATAGATAAGGTGAAATCAGTAATTACGTGGTTGTGTGCCAAATGTTACTTCTTTTACTGCAGTAATCGCAGGAGTAACGGTGGTAGTGTATGCAGGAGTAATAGTTGTTAAAGCAGGTGTGAAAGTCTTTGCTGTTGTCAAGGCGGGAGTGGCAGTTGTTGCTCCGGCTATAATGAAAAGAATTGGGCGGTTTGTCTGATGGAATGATAGTAATGAGTAAAAAGTCAATTCAAACATGTAATTACAGGAGTGTTTTAAAGTAAATTGTGAAATTGTGGGCATCAGAACAAAATATATCGTCGTCGATTTAATATTAACAATCGCAAAAGGTTACAATGAAATTCAAACGATGATGTGACGTTTTACAATGATCAGTATGTTCGTCGCCATTGAAAAGTCATTAAGATTTCAGAATTATACTCATACAGCAGTTAATTATGAAACACAATATGAATTAAAAGATTGTAAGAGAAAGAATGACTATTTAACACTCACTTGTGGATTTAATACAGATTTTGGTAGATATTTTCACTTTCACGGGTACTGTAGGATACTCAGGAACAATTGTAATTTTCAGCACAGTTTTATCTGTTCCAGGTGGAATGGTGACAGGCTTGTCAGGTGATGATGTAACTTTAGGTAGTGTGGGTGGTACACCTCCTGCGGGTGTAGTTGCTGCGCCGGCTGCAATTCTAGCTGGTGTACTTCCTGCAACGGGAGCAAATTTTCCTGGGGTAGATGCTGCACCAGGTACACCCACAGCTGGCGTAGTGGTAAAATAGCTAGTACCTCCAGCTGGCACGGATGTTGTTGTCTATGAATAGCATAAAACACAGCAAGAGAAACTTGAATGTCATTGAACTCCGAATATAAAAAACAAAAAACTATGCATCGTTTACATGTAGAATATTCAATAATATATCTTATATATGAAATATATTAATGGTTTGAACAATGTAAAATTACTCAGTTGGAGTGCAGCTAGCTTATAAGCGTTCATCTGCTGCATTGTAAGTATGAATGAATGTTTTGTGTAGCATAATGTAGATTTCAATTTGTCTTTTATGTGTCGGTGAAGAGAAAAACAAATGAATTAGTATTTAATTGTTTACATTATTAAAAACACACAGACATATACCAAGGGAGATAGCTACCGTTTGCAAAATATCTGATTTTATAGGAGTATCTGCTTGTGTTGCGTCAAAGTAATACGAACACTCGAGCCTCATTTTAGGAAGTCATTATTTGCTAAATGGGCATGTTCACACATGTACATGGATTTGTTAAGTAGCTTTGATTTAACCGAATATGATGCATGTGAGTTTGCTCTCAAATACAATTCCATGTGTAATTGCTCTTTGTATGTGTCTATTATTTGAAAGGTTTCAACTGATGCAATGGAAGAAAGCAATTTCTCGTGTATTGTTCAGTTAAAGAAAAGCCTTGTCTTATAATATATAGCATTTAACAGTTTTGGTAGCTACTAACCCGTCAAGTTAGGCAGAATCTAGCGTAGTGGTTTCTGTGTTAAGGGTTAAATATATGCATTAATATGATAATTTACCTGTGGTGGTTTGATCAGCTCAACTACATACTCTTTGACGTTCTTTGGATTGAGTAGCTGAACTACACCACCAGCCTCGAGACTTTCTCCCACTGTAATTGTGGCAACTCTGTCTTCTGGTGTTGTCGTTATCCACCCAGGACCAGTGGGTCTGATATCTCCTGGATTTCCAGATGGATTCGGTTCTAGAGTGATTGCACTGTCCGGTAATGCTGTCTCATCTTCCATTTCATCCACAAGTGGGCAAGTTGCTATCAAGGTAAATTATTGAATTTTAATTTCACAACGGTCAACTTAGAACAGATTAATAAAGTTTGTCTAAGTCTATTTATATTTTGCCTTAATAAAGAAAAATTGTTGAAATCATGGAACATTCCATATGATGAAAGAAATATACAGAGAAATGGAAACGTTATCCTAAGACGCCAAGCCTTTGGCAGTGATATGTGTTGGAGGAATATATATAAAGAAAATTCAAAAATTTACATTTCAAATTGCAACTTGCACATAATGATGTCAGATATTTTCTGACTTTTACCGATTATGTTGTTTCGTGAAAAAAAAAAATAGTTGTCAGAAAAGTGTTAGGTAAAGTGCAAATTTAAGAAATCATTGCTATGTATGCAGGTAAAGAATAATTATATGGAATGAGTCATCTGCTTCGTTTGTCATGACAATATAGATAAGGTGAAATCAGTAATTACGTGGTTGTGTGCCAAATGTTACTTCTTTTACTGCAGTAATCTCTGGAGTAGCGGTGGTGGTGTATGCAGAAGGAATTGTTGTTAAAGCAGGTGTGAAAGTCTTTGCTGTTGTCCGGACGGTACTGACCGGTAATGCTATAACGAAATGAATTTTATAGTTATATTTAGTTCATTATTTGGTATTTGATCAGTAATGATATTTTCTTGCCGCTATTTGAGCGGAAAATTTCTACATGACTTTTTATCTTTCCTCTCCATGACTTTTTGGTAGGTTAATCCCATTTGGTATTTTTGGTACGTTAATCTAATGTTAATTTTTTTTTCCTTTTTCCCCTTTCAGACATATATTTCTCATTTGCTTTTTGTTTTCTCGGTGTATTTCCTAAATAAAAGGATAAGATCAATATGAAGCCTGGACCTTCTCAGTGAGATAGGCTGTCACTTTCACGACTTTCACGTAATTATTCATCATATTTTTATCTTACATTAATTGGAATGCCAACATTATTCTGATTTAATATTCTTTTTAGAACCATTACATCTTTATCAAATGATGATATTGTATATAAATTTGTCATCCGCTTACACATACAAATTATTGCCTGACACGAACTTTTCTATTTGATTACGCTGATTATGAAGGATTTGTTAACGAACATCTCATCTCCGCTTATCTCAACGATGTAATTAACTGGACTACTCATAACAGCACGAATTATTTTAGTGTAGATGGTTTTAAAAGGCTTTCTTTTGTAGTCGCTAATGAATGGCATGATAGTTGCCGAAGATTGTAATATTTTTGATATAAGTAAAGGCACAAGAATTTCTCAATTGGGAAGACATTGTAATTATACATTTCTTTCATTAAAGAAAATAATATTTTCGATATTTACCGTAAATATATGAATAGAAATTCTATTTTAAATATATGTTACTGACAATGTTATCATAAATGTTATAATTTTCCTAAAATCAGATGTTATTCTGATTTATAGTACACTAATTTCCACCACATTCAAGAAAAAAAATGACAAAAAAAAAAAAAAAGCAATACAATCCAGAATTTCCGCCCAATAGCACCCACTATCGCCTAAAGTAACGAAATAAAAACCGAGCCGATTTGAGCCTAAGAACGGACATAAAAGCCCATCAAAGGAACATTTTAGGCAGTTGGACGGCATCTGAATCTGGGTTCACTGACTTCGTCGGAAATCGACCTCCCATCTCCAAAAGACAGCTCGCCAAAGGCCGTTGCCCCAGTAAACACCCCCCCTTCTCTTTCCGTACACCTCTGCGGATTCCTTTTACAACTTCACTTATCTCTTTTTTCAACGAGAGACATTTATACCAGTTTATCATTTGTTGTATTTTACGTTATTTATTTCTTTAAACCTCCGCGGCTTTTTTTTTTTTTTTGTCTTCCACCATACGCTTAATATAAGAATAATTAGGTCACAGTTTATATTATGTTTATAATTTAGAATATGTATCTTAGGAAATAAAAATTGGGAAAATTCAATATATATTATCTTTGGATAAATTTGTAATTTATTCTTTAAAAACTGAATCAAATTCAGAAGACTAAAATAATTTAGACAATCGGATAATGCGATAAAGAACAATTACAAAAATATGTAGAAGTACAACGAATGATGATGTATCTATTAATATTTGAAATTGTTTAAATTCAAATAATAAACAATCAAAAACATTTAGTAACTTGGAAAACGTATTAAAAACAGCTTTTGTGTATCTTATATTCTCAGAAGTCGCAACATTAGATAATTAACATGTAAAATTACTTATTAACAAACGTAAAAATGCAAACATTTAAAATGTCATAAATAATGAAAGCATAAGCAAAATTTAAGGCATACTTACTTGATAGTGTACAAATTTTGGTGGAGACCTTGACAACTACAGGCTTTGTAGGATCAAGCGGTATAATTGTGATTTTGATAATAGATTTCTTGGTGTTTGGTGGAATAGTGACTGGACTATCAGGAGGAGAAGTAAATTTGTATTCTTCAGGAGGTGTAACACGCGAACCAGCAAAAATAGTTGCTCCTGGAACAAATCCAGTTAGTGTGCTTACTCCAGGGGTAAGTCCTGATGGTGTGCTTGCTCCAGGAGCAAATCCAGATGTCATGCTTGCTCTCGTAACAAATCCAGATGGAGTACTTGCTCCAGGAACAAATCCAGATGGCGTGCTTGTTCCCGGGATTAACCTGGATGGCTTACTTACTCCAGGAACAACTCCAGATGGTGTGATTCGTCCAGGAACCAATCCAGATGGCGTGCTTGCTCCAGTAATAAGTCCATATGGCGTTCTTGCTCCAGGAACAAGTCCAGATGGTGTGCTTCTCCGAGGAAAAAGTCCTAATTGTGCGCTTGCTCCAGGAACATATCCAGATGGCGTGCTTGCTTCAGGAACAAGTCCAGATGGCGTGCTTGCTTTAGGAACAAGTCCAGATGGCGTGCTTCCTCCAGGAACCAATACAGATGGCGTTCTTGCTCCAGGAACAAGTTCAGATGGTGTGGTTCCCCGAGGAAAAATTTCTAATGGTGTGCTTGCTCCAGGAAGAAATCCAGATGGCGTGCTTGCTTCAAGAACAAATCCAGATGGCGTGCTTGCTCTCGTAACAAATCCGGATGGAGTACTTGCTCCAGGAACCAATCGAGATGGCGTGCTTGTTCCCGGGATTAACTTGGATGGCTTACTTACTCCAGGAACACCTCCAGATGGTGGGATTCGTCCAGGAACCAATCCAGATGGTGTGCTTGCTGCAGGACCAAGTCCAGATGGTGTGCTTGCTCCAGGCACATATCCAGATGGCGTGCTTGCCCCAGGAACAAGTCTAGATGGGGTGCTTCCCCGAGGAAAAAGTCCTAATGAGGTGCTTGCTCCAGTAACATATCCAGATGTCGTGCTTCCTCCAGGAAGCAATCCAGATGGCGTTCTTGCTTCAGGAACAAGTCCAGATGGTTTGGTTCCCCGAGGAAAAATTCCTAATGGTGTGCTTGCTCCAGGAAGATATCCAGATGGCGTGCTTGCTCCAGGAACAAATCCAGATGGCGTGCTTCCGCCAGGAGCAAGTCCTGATGGTGTGCTTGTTTCAGGAACCAATCCTGATGGAGTGCTTCCTCCCGGAACCAATCCTGATGTTGTGCTTGCTACAGAAACAAATTCAGATGGTATGCTTGCTCTCGTAACAAATCCGGATGGAGTACTTGCTCCAGGAACCAATCCAGATGGCGTGCTTGTTCCCGGAATTAATTTGGATGGCTTACTTACTCCAGGAACAACTCCAGATGGTGTGATTCGTCCAGGAACCAATCCAGATGGCTTGCTTGCTTCAGGAACCAATCCAGATGGCGTTCTTGCTCCAGGAACAAGCCCAGATGGTGTGCTTCTCCGAGGAAAAAGTCCTAATTGTGTGCTTGCTCCAGGAACATATCCAGATGGTGTGCTTGCTCCAGGAACAAATCCAGATGGCGTGCTTCCGCCAGGAACAAGTCCTGATGGCGTGCTTGCTTCAGGAACCAATCCTGATGGGGTGCTTGCTCCAGGAACCAATCCTGATGGCGTGCTTGCTCTGGGAACCAATCCAGATGGAGTGCTTGATCCCGGGATAAACCTGGACAGAGTACTTGCTCCAGGCACAAGTCCAGATGGTGTCCTTCCTCCAGGAACAAATCCAGTTGGTGTGCTAGCTCCAGGAACAAATCTATATGGCGTGCTTGCTCTAGGGACAAATCCAGATGGCCTGCTTGCACCGGGAGCTAATCCAGATGGTGTGCTTGCACCGGGAACAAATCCAGATGGTGTTTTTGCTCCGGGAACCAATTCAGATGGAGTGCTTGCTCCAGGAGCAAGTCCCAATGGTGTACTTTTTCCAGGAATAAATCCATATGGTGTGCTTGCTCCGGGAACCAATCCAGATGGCGTACTTGCTCCAGGAACAAGTCCAGATGGTGTACTTGCTCTAACAACAAATTCAGATGGTGTGCTTGCTCCAGGAACAATTCCAGATGGCGTGCTTGCTCCAGGAATAAATCCAGAAGGAGTGATTCCTCCAGGAACCAATGCAGATGGTGTGGTTGCTCCGGGAAAAAATCTATATGGTGTGCTTGCTCTGGGAACAAATCCAGATGCTGTGCTTGCCCCAGGAAGAAATCCAGATGGTGTGCTTGCTCCAGAAACAAATCCAGATGTTGTACCTTCTCCAGGAACATATCCAGGTGGTATACTTGCTCCAGGTACAATTCCTGGTGGAGTGGTCTGGAAAATTAAGGAAAGCTTTGTAATTTGAATTATATAATTAATAATTTTTAGTTTCTATTAAATTATGTAATTAATTATTTTTGTCAATTTTATTATTTATGGATACATGCTTTTTTCTAAAATCAAATCTATTTTAATTAAACAAACAGGACTCATTTAAAAATCGACCATCTTCATTAAATTTTGCTTTTTTATATTTACTGCTGCAAACTATTTTTTTCTGTTTAAATTTCAATTTGTACTAAAACTTTTTTTTTGAGGTTTAAAATTTAAACCAATAGGAAAAATAAATTTGGAAAATCAATGAGACTGTTGTTAAAATGTCTTTAAATCAGAAAGGCAAATTTGAAAACCATTTTTGAATGCAAAATGCTTTAATATGGAAAACTTCTTTGATGCATTGAATGGATAAGAGAAAGAAAAAGCTTGTGTTTTTCTGATCACCTACAATGTTTTTTTTTTTCAAATGTTCCTGCCATTTGAGAGAACCTATTCTAATTTAAAGTAACAGTTATACTTTATGTAGTGTGTCAGCAATTACACCAGATCTATTTCATTCCATGTATTCTAATTCAGTCTTTATAACAACTGAATGATTTTTGCAAAAATCAGTTCTTTAGTTACCATCTTTAAATATAATTCAACATTCATTTGGCTGTGATGAATTTTGATTTTGTGATTGTGCTATAAAAATAATTTATGCAAATATTTTAAAAATACAGGGAAAATTTATAAAGAAAAATCATACTTTCCCAATGAATTTTAATGTTTGAAGATGAATTTGCTATAAAATTAAAATCTGACAATTAGGAATTTTAAAAAAAATGGCGTATTTGAGAAGAATATACAATGAACAATGATAATGCAATTCAAATTTCTCCAAAAATAAATAAATAAAATAATTAAAATATAATTACTATTCTGCATAATGCTGCAGCCTTTTCTCAAGGTATATTGAAAACTTAATGTACAAAGGAAATTTTGAAGTTTTTAATACAGTGTATGAGTACATTGTTAATGCACTAGTATGATTTTGGTCAATTTCTATGTTTGTATCTAAGTTTTATATAGTTCAGGATTCAGAAATGTTTTTACAGAAACAGTTTATCTACAAATATTATATAGATAAATATTATATAGATAAATATATAGATAAATATATAGATAAATGAAAAAAAACACTCAAACAGGTACAAGATTGATGTTCAAACAACCAATACTTTATCAATTCTTTTATTCAAATAAAATTGTAGGAAAAAATTTTAGTTAACTATCTTGTTTTAAATGCTATGTCACTACTGGACATAGATGATCATGTTCTCCACAGATTCTTTTTCATCATGGTCTGGCAATTGCCATGTATTCTTTGGAAATATACTTTCCTACTGCATTCTCCAGGGTTTGGAATTAATAGTTTTCCCCTTTGCTTGTGGAAAAAGAGATAAATTCATGCCAAGGACATTCCAGTGAAAATGAATACAACAGATTAATCCAGAATTGGAACTTGCCAATTCCTCTCTCTGCACAGATATTTGTACAGTTCCAATAATTACAACACACAATGCCTTATGCATACATTCCTTTTCTGATTATCAAAGTAATTTGCATGGCTAATACTGATGAGAATAAATACTACTTTGAATTTAATTGAAAATTGAATTGTTCAATGTTAAACAATGATGTTTCTATGCATATCTTATGAGAAGTGTAAAGCACTGTTAATATGAAAAAGCAAATCATAGAAATTCCACTTAGTAATTCCAAGAAGCAAATGAGTCCAAGAAAAACTAGAAAAGCAAGAATTCTAAGCATAAAATACTGAATTAGTGGCAGGTTGTCAAACTTGATTTGTTTGATACGATAAACTTCTTCACCTAGTATAACATTGGCATGAATCATGCCCACAAAACCAATATTTTCCATCCCTCCATCTATTAACACACAAATATGTACAAAATATTCAAAATTATATTTACCTTAGGAGGATTAATCAGTTCAACTACATATTCTTTTATATTTTCTTTTTCAACCAATTCAATGATGCCGCCAATATTTATTTTATCCCCAACTTTAATGGTGATTACACGATCCTCTGGGGTTGTTGTGTTCCATCCAAGCCCATTTGGTCTTATGTCATCAGGTATGCCTATATTTGGTTTCAATGTGATATCCTTGTCTGTGACAATTGTTTCATCTTCCATTCCTTCCGTAAGTGGACATGTCACTATAAATAGAAACAAAGTTATTATCCTAATTTCAAAAAACATAATTCAACAAATATGAATCAGAAAGTTTAAACAGTTTATGTCTTCCACTGAAAAAAGAAGAAAATGATAAATTTTATGCAGATATCAACATGATAAATTATGACCATATTTATGTAAATGTTCAGTTAAAAATTCCCAAATCACAATTTTCCCTTTGATAATGCATAGCTCTTGGAGGGTTAAATGAAAAGATCAACAACAGGATGTATTATGTGAATAATAGCAGAATCTAACAAGCTAGATCTGGCAATGAACTGCAAAGGTGTCATGGCAAATATCCTTCATATCCTTCATATTGAAAATGGATGAAACCTAAATATTCTGAGCACATAGAAATACCTTGTGTCTGTCACTATAAACACAATGAGGACCCCAGTGATGATACATGTAAACAGGTTTTTGTAAAAAAAAGAAGCTGTATCTTCCAAAAGTTACATTTGCACATGTCAATGTACTGAAACGGTGAATGGCCTAGTGGGTGAGAAGTTGTGGTGAACGGTGTGATTCACTCTTTCCAGAAACTCTGGTTGTACATGCAAACAATCACCATAGCTGAGAAGAAATGAATTCAACTGTGGTCAGACAGAAGAAAAACTAAAAGTTGTATCAGTGAATACCGAACTGCAGCCATCTGCTTTTATGCACACTATATGTGCCAGAGACTGCCAAAAAAAAAAATTCAGCTTGTTAGCTACATAGTAAGCTTCATCCCCACTGGGTACATCTGTTGTCTAACTATAAATCAAAAAATAGCAGAATCTATTATAGATTTTCATATCTCTTGCCCCCATATAATAATAATAATAATAATAATAATAAAGAAAACCTTAAATATTCATTTCAGTTATAATTTATTTTGTGAATACCAAAATATTCATCTCTTCAGACCAAAATATCTTAGTAAATGGAGACAATACACTGAACGGATATATTAGATAGACAGGGGGAAGGGAAAGCAAGAGAGAAGGAATGGAAGGAGAAAAGTGATGGATAGACAGGCTCTTTTAAAAAGATGAGATAGTCTGTTGTTTTGGGCAGGATAAACCAATCCAATTCCAAATTAGTTAGTCTAATAAAAGGATCCTTAATACAAATAATAAATACAAATTACAATAATGATAATAATATCAAACATAAATTGAAGGGATTTTAAATGCAGATAAATAAAAACAAATACTTTTAGAAAATTAAAAGTAGAAATAAAAAAAAAAAAACTGAGTAAGATGATTTATGGATAATGATACAAAAGATGTTAATTTAGAAGATATATTTATATATATATATATATATATATATATATATATATATTATAATATATATATATTATTATATATATATATATATATATATATTATAATATATATATATATATATATATATATAGTAATAATAATATTTGGCAACTCATAATTGAGGATACCTGTCTACTAGGGTGGCTTGAAGATCTCTATTGCAGACACCCACTCAGGTATATTCATGTTTCAACATTCACAGAGCCCACCTGTGGTTTATACTGCAACTATGCTGAGTGGACCTTAGTTACAGTTTCTGGGATAGAGCGTGTTATCTAGCATGATCAAAAATCTGAACAAGGCCAGCATGTTCAAACCTTCAGTCACAATGGCATGTGAATTCTTGCTTGCACAGTCATTAATGGCCCTGAGGGTTTCCATTTACCCAATTTCACTTACAAAGCTTGGGTTAACCCATGGTGTGGTTTTTCAGGCACTTTCCAATGCTGCTGCATGCTGGGATTGATTCCACCAGACCGATATTCATGAGAACAAGCAAAAAGAATAAGGTAGGTATTGCTGGTAATGTGGAAAGAAAAGAAGATGAAATGTGTTAAAATAGAATTATTTGTATTGCCAATATAGAGGATCTAGGCAGAAAATCTCTCTGTGGGCAAGGGAAGCAACATGGCAGATGCAGGGAGTCAGTAAGGCATGGCATTGATGCTTGTGTCAGGTTGAAGCCATGGGTGGTGTTAGTGACAGTTATTAGTCTGTGACAGTTCTTCAGTGTTACAAGTGGTATTTTTTTAAGCAGTGATGGTGCATATTTACTCAGCCTTTTTTGTCATGCTTTTTTGTGGGTGGGATATGATCTTGTGAACCAGATGTGATGCTTGGAGCCCTTGCACAAAGAACAACATTTTTATTTCTAATTTTGCTTTCTTAGCATTCACATCCAGTCAACAGTGTTGATGTAGAATCAATCAGAAGTTTGAAGCAGACTATTGATAGATAGATTATATGTACTTAGCAAGAATTCATTCAAACAACTTTTATTTAAATCAACAAGGTATGTCTCTTTACTACATTCTTCCAGTTTTCCATAAGCTTACACACATCTGTATCAAATTTATAAAGAAAATATTTAAAGTCCACAATATTTTTTTTTTGGCTATCTCTAGTAATTTTCAAGAGAATTAATGTTATCATTGCCATAAAGATTCTTGTAATCCTGATTCTTTTAATGGCCTAACATTTTTCAATAATAATTATTTAAAAATGATTAATGTCTTTAAAAGAAATGTGTTAAAGATAAAAATATAAATCTATTTTTGCAATAATATTAATTTCTTTGAAAAAATATATAATTTTTATTTTTCAAATGAAGGCTTTTACAAAAAGTTAAATATTAGCTGCCTTTAAAGTACTGAAATATAGTAAAGAAGAATCTCCAACAGTCCCAACATTTCAAGTTGAATGTGAAGACACCAGAAAAAATTCAAATTTATTAAATTGCACCAATTTCT